GTGAACTTGGGAAGCTAAGTGGTTTGTGTCTCACCTGCGACCTCGCTCGTTCTTCAAAGTGCCGCCATACTTGTTTCGCGTCCCGATCAGGTCAATTATCTCGGGGATACAACTGGCGAATATGGCCTACACCACGTGATAGAACAGAACACAACACTCGCATCAATACACTTGACAGGGTTGGTTGGTTGGTTGTTTGATTGTTTTGGTTGATCGGTTCTTTGGTTGGTTGGTTTTTTGGTCAATTGGCTTTTTTTTTTGGTGGGTTTCTGGTGGGGGGTGTGGAGGTTTGTAATATGAACGGAAAAAAGTTTGGCTTAGCTACCGGGCAGCGCGGCTACGAATAGAGACACGATTAACAGTGCTGTACCGCTATGCGCGCCACGGCCCAATTATAACGAATATATTTTCTGTTTTTTTTTTTTTTTTTTTGAAAATGTCAAAGGGCGGGGTAGGTAGGCTACCTACACCTAAATCCTACACACCTACACCTAATCCTAACATACTACGCGTGCCGACACGTCTACCTATTCCATAGGCAGATTTCATTTGATATAGTGTTTATATATATATATATACACATATACGTGTACAATATTGTTTACGTATTTATAATTATTATATTTATATTTAGGCATATACGTATATGTATATATATAATATATCCTTGGACGAATTCAAGCTTTCCCAAGTATCTTCATTTCATTTTCTTCACTTTATTCATTCCTGCTCAGACACCACTGCCACCTACTTCTTACGGCGAGTCAAGTCGTGGACGTAAATTTCGAATCACCCTACCCGGCACGCGATTCGCGTTCTTCCTTCGTCCCAATATTCGACCTTATCAACTTGAGTTTCTCGAGAGATTGAATCTTCGCCTTGTCTTGCCTCTATATATATACATACATAGATATAAACATTTCTATCGATCGTATCTCTCTGTGACTCTCTCCTCTGTATAAGAACCGTATCGGCCTTGAGATTCAATATATACCTATACACATAATACGTGTATATATACATATATATTGTCGCACAATCGACGCGACACGCCTCGAAACGCTATTTCCATCACAAAAATTAATCAATTATTCGTCCACCACCCTTTCTCTATTCTCGTAACGCTTTTCAAATTTCATTATTTTTTTCTTTCTTTTTTTTTCTTTTTTACTACACCTGCCTCTATACGATATTATCACATCGCTCAAAAATTTCATGCAGACCTTTTCTCCGCCCACTGGATTGCCGCGTTGTTAGGCTGATCTATTACAAAGTGTCAATATCGAGATGCGTCAAGTCCGATCACGATGAGCACTCTCCCTTTCAATTAGTGAGCAATGTTAGTGTCTGATTATTAATATTAATCACTCGTTCACACTAGCGCTCGGCACAGATCCTTATATACTTTGATCCTATCGCTATATACAGGGTTAATATAGTATATATATATATATATATATATATAACATAGGCCATTTGGAATCACTCTTGTATTTTACAGTTCTGACGACACAATATGTATATGACGATCAGAATGGTGTATATATATATATATATACATATATACATAAAGACATATAATAATGAAATATGTATTTGTATATATGTATATCGGCAACATAGTAACATTTAACATAACGGAGCCCAGCTAGACTACGCTGCAGCACACAGACGTTAGTGGTGAACAATTAACAATATAATAATAACAGTGTAGAATAAACAGTAGCAAGTGCTTTTGTATTCAAGAGTAACGTCTATAGCGAATTGGACGGGACGGTCGACTCGTATGAAGCTTCGTTCGCGGTGTAAGACGTTATAGCTTTTTAAAGATTCTGCAAGTTCAGCACAGTCAATGTCCTATCTGCTGTGCGGAACTTCCTTGAGTCCCAATAGTGAGATTTTAGACGTCTGGAAATCTACGATGAAACGTGTACGGACACTCTGCGATTTTAGCTAGTTAATATTATTTTCTTTCGGACTGTTCAAAGTTCAATAAATTATTTCGCGGTGTCCGTACGTCACGATTACGCAGAGTAGGCCGACCACGCTTGTCTATAAAACACGTATTGTTATCGAGAAGCGGTGCGTCTGCGGCAACGAAATCTGTGAGCGTAATTAATTACTTCACATCAATGGTGTTTCTTGGGACATGAGCTAGTGTCGGGTCTACTTGTGTTCTTAGCTCAATGTGGACGTGTTGCGTGTCAGCATTATTATGTCATGGCTGTGATGTGTTCTGGCGTTTATAAAAGTGTCGCTTTGGTGTATCGAAGTTCGGTGATTTTGTGAGAAAGGGAAAAAAAAATTAAATCAACGTGACTATAGCTAGACTACTGGAGTGCCTCAGCGAAGAGTGGGGTGATCGAGTGGGTTGTTGCGAAAAACAAAATGGCGATAGAACTATGCGTGGCTCACGTTGAGAGCGAGGGTAGATCGCGTCACTGGTATGGGGATGGCTTTGGAGAAAAAAACACGTAATTTTTTTTTATCGTCAACGTGCAATCTTTTGTCGTAGAAATTTCAAATTTTTTTATTTTTCAAAAATCGCCATTTTATCTTCGTAAACTTCACCCTCGTTACTCGTAGCGGTGTTTTGCGTTCAGACGTGCAGTGCTACCCTAGAATCAGCTGCTGTGCCTATGCCTGCACCCCTCTACTGTTGGACTATACGCATTTCCAAAAAAAAATTTGCATTTTGGGGTATATCGTCGTGACGACGATACACTTTGGCTTCCTTGTCTCATTACGTTGTACGCATCACGAGTCTCGTATTTTATTGTCGCCTAAGGCAGAGTCTACGACTAGCCAGAACACTAACGCATGCCGCCAAGAAACTTAATATTCAACCAGTCAAAGCTTTGCTTTTTTATGGCGATCCAGCTGGATGGAACGATTCGTGTCGTTGTGTCGTAGCGACAATTAGCTCGAGATCAATTTTCGTGTTCGTTTTTGCTTCGGTATAGTTTGAAATTATTTATTTGACTTCTTTTCTCGGGTCACCAGGTACAATCGAACATGGCAAAATTAATTTGGAAATTTTTTTTCGATACAGTAGAGGCGAACAAATAAACGTGGACGCAACCCGAAGACAAGTCCTTTTGACTACAGGACCTTAAAGAATGCGTTGAATGGACTACGTATGATTATTGACAATGATATATATTCTAAAGATAATAGTGTGTAACCCGTTTGTTTTTTAATAATTTTATAGATAATTTTTAGTAATTTTTTTCATCAGACCATTGTAACTGCGAAATACATTATCTACTGCGGCACGGTTTGTACGGCATCTATTGTATTTTATACAGTGACTAATTGTCAAGTTTCTACCATATCCTGGTGCAAGCGTATCCTGGTGTAAGCTAAGTCGGTAGTCAATAAAAGTGGGCTTACACGGGAGCATTCGCTGCGCGACAAAGTATATCTATTAAATATTCATCGGATACAAAATGCAAATATAACGTTTGGCAATATTTTACCAGACATAGGGGATACTTGAAAAACCGTGCGAAAGTAGATTTTTCATCAATATCTCTACTTACGACCTCTTACAAGGAACGTATTATTTTCAGGAATTGCAAGAGAAATAAGGATAAGATACGTATTGTGTAACAGATAGTAGTGTCATATAGGAATATCGTTCCTTTTACGTTATCCAATGAAAACTAGTAATAATATTGGATAGAATATGGTAATTGGCAAAAGTCAAAATTTATCGTCAACCAGTTGTACATTTCAATCGTCATATACGTAGGGAATGCAAGTTTGTCAAAATTAAAATTTTTTATTTTCCATATGAAAATACAAAGTGCTACGATGATTACACTTTTAAAAATTATTTTTTTCCAGCTAACTTCCAGTGTTAAAAAAAAATCGTTTGAATTTCTCCTCTAATCTAGAAAGTCTTCACCGGATGTCCCATACTCTATGAAAAACATAACTAACTTTAAGTATATCTAAACGCATACCAGCTGTGCATACGAAAGTGATGGATTAGCAATTGGAATCGCGATTACGACAGCTTATTTAATTGTGGCATCGGAATCGCTCATTCCAGCTGGCTAATGTCTGGCATTGAATACACCTTAACCACTAATTGTATTTGTACGACTCGACCATGCGACATACGTAATGAAGAAATTAACTAAACGACGCCGTCCTGTGCAAAATATAATTTGCGATGCGCATGATTCACGCAAGATAATAAAAATTCAAATCGAATTTACAGATAATAAAATCCTGAGCAGACTCCCCAAAAAGAAACACTCTCGTAATATAGCACAATGATAATTGGATTGCGAATGAGCCGCGAGTTCGAATTTTAAAGAATTTCAATTAAAAACGAAATACGTGAACGCGAGATCAGTCCGTGGGTACCAAAACGAATTTCGTAAAATATTTTCAAAAAAAAAAAAAAAAAGTAAAAAAAAATTTAATGGAAAAAAAATGACAAATGAAAAGAAGAGCGACGATGTGTGAGACCATAAACGGATGCAACATTATTATGAACTACTCGTGTTCCGGAGAAAAATTTCAAGCATACCAGCACGTGTTACAAAAATTTGCTAACTGGTTATAAAAGTAGTAATAAATAAGCGGTGAATCAGCGCAAGTCCTAAGGGTGGTAATGGGGTTAGACTGAAGGGATTCGATCGCTCTATAGATACGGATCTTTCAAGGGTTAGGATTTACGCTAACAGTCAATTATACGGATAGCAGCTGTAAGTCTGAGCTTCCATATATTTTTTTATTGATATCATTTTGTGGCGTTTGTATACAAATTATTTTTTTTTCATACCGATTATCCAATTCGCATGGCAACCAGGACGATTCGATTCCAGAGGATATTGACGCGAATCGTCCGCGAAACGTATCTCGTCTACTTCTTCCCAGAAATAATGCAGATTAATCGATTTTGAGCAATGATATATATATTTATGTGTGCTTATGTATAAAAAAATAAGCATTCTCAAAAAAACTAGGTTACGAAGTTGATAACGTTAATACACGTTAAATCAGTCCCCGAATTTCTCTTCGACCCCAAAAATATCAGAACAATTTCCAAATATGATCCATATAAAAAAAAATGTGTAAAATCGAATGTCCCTATGCACGTGGTACCAAAAAGACTATGAAACGTTAAATAATAACCCATCGATAAAACAGCCCTATAACATTATACACACGGTCTGAAAAAATGATCACGTATTTTACCCATTATCAAAATATCGTATAATCTATCCATGCCGATAAAAGGAAAAATAAAAAATGGATAAAAAATGGATAAAAAGTGATCACGTATTTATCCCCATTATAGAAATCTTGCATAATCGATCCCTGACGATAAAAGGAAGACTGCCATATGTTCAAAGTGATCGAATAAACAATAAAAAAAAATCCAACAATTAATTGACTTTCGTAATCATCAAACGAAACAAAATCGTATGCCTTATATACACGCTCAAAAAAGAAAATTGCATCAACTTTTTCCCCGCCCCTGTACACGAACCCCTAAATCGAATTCATCAATATCCTCTGCCGTGCTGAAATCCAATAGCACTATTGATCCCTGTATCGTGAAGATTGATCATTATGCCCTGGATCAGCATACGATTCAAAATGGTCCCAAGATCAATTGCGTCCTAATGCTATTTGACGCGATGGCTAAATTTTGAACGTCTTCCAAATTGGGTAAAGCGAAGGAGCTTCGCTATGCAACATCAGGACTACTTCGCTATCCAGACAGACTTTGATCATCTCTCTAAGCGACTACCAAGGGATTAGTTAGGGCTAGTTATATGGGTTAGAGGTTTTCCACGTAGGTGGATTTTGTGGGGTACCTGCGTCCACGCTCGCGCTTGTACTGGCCACCGTACTTGCAGCGGTTCGCGGCGAGCTCCGTGATCTCTGGGATCCAGCTGGCAAACACCGCCTACACACCCACAATCATCCGTTGCCGTCAGAACATGACCCTAACCTCAATATAGCCTTTTACCACTTCATCACTTTAAAAACTCTCTTAACACTACACGCATAGTAATAGCCGTCATGATGTGGTAGGTAGTGGGTAAGATGGATTTGACAAAAACAATTCTATGTACTTTGCAGATATAGCAACGTGTATTATAGATCGATATGATCTATAAGATCAACATATATGTATATCAATTTTCATTGGAGAATCAACAAATAAAAAAATCAACCTTAACTGTAATTGTTAAAGTAACAAAAACAAAAATTGAAATTCTCACAATAACCCATCCCCCATTCAATTATCAAATATCAATCAAACTAATCGGACAATTATACATTATATAACCATAATGTCCATCGAATCCCATTCGCTTGGATCGCGACGATCTTTTCTTTTTTCGAACGAAGCACAAAATATCTCCAATTTGAATCTTCGATGTTTTCCCGCGCCTACGTTACTATTTAAAATCGACATGCACCTTTACGCACACAGATCACACTCGCACTGGCACGCTTCTTCTCGCGCACGATTTATATATGTTATAGCATGTATGTACGTTATTAAGGGTCGTCACCGCGGAGAAACGTTCACGAGGACTGTCTGTAACAATGGGGTGGAAAAGTCTGTGCGTTACAACGTGCTATCGCAATACGTAGGTACACAAGAGGCACGTGATCGAAGTCGACGATCGTGCCAGGAAATGGGACAATTGTGAGAAACGATTTAAACCCTATTGTCATAAACATTTCTCCGTAGTCAATGTGACTTTAGTAACGTTACAGCACGTGCGTAACCTATAGCATTATTATTATTATTACGAACGTAAGAATATTAATCATCAGCTCTGTTATGCCTTGCGTCATTTATACTGGACCAGCATGATTAGCCATTTCATCAGTAGGTACACCAATGATTATCAATGCACAAAAGAGAGCTGTCACCCTGCTAAATGATGAAGTTAAATAGAAACTTAATTAGAGGAATAAGAGAGACTGTGAATTTTTACTTTTTTTCCGTGTTTCCTTGTAACTCGTACATTAGCCGTCGAGCAGTTGGTTATTATAAGACGTAACAATAGGCGTGTATAAAAGCCGTGTATCGTGTAAACATCATCACACACTTTTGGTAGCAGACTAAAGTGGTAAATTGTGCACTGCTTTTTTTTTTGGGAAGTTGTCGTTAGATCGGCGTTAAGACAAAAATAATAATAATAGTAACGAGGGTGGGGAAAATGGTATGTATATGGTGCCGTATAAAAAATGGTGTCATGGCGAAAATTATATGTGAACAATCTTGGCCTATCATTGTCAGCTGTGTGTATATATATATATTTTTTTTTCTCTATATATACAAGGATGCGCTCAACGTGCCAAAGTTTCGTGCTTTAACAAACTTGTATGGCATTCTTAACGGACAACCGAAGGGAACGTCATGCAAGGACTAAAACTTACAAAGCTCGGCTGATTTGTTAGTTTTGGACATGTGAATCTTTCGTCGCGATTCCCTTTAACTCAAAAAATTATTTCGCCGGGCGGACACCCCTGATCGGGTAGTAAAAGGTCCATTTGATATCACGCAAAAAATTTGAAGCTAATCGAAATATTTTGGAAAAAAATTTGTTCCCGGTAAAAATTTGAAATATTATTACCGTGATAATTTAACAATGAAAATATTGACTTGCCGATAATTGATAGACTATCGTATCAATATATCTCGAACAGATAATAGATTATCATACGTCAAAGTTCATACGATAAATTCAACCTGACGTATGTATATCGGCTTGACGCCATACGTTCGTATTTTGTGCTAAAATAATAATAATATGATGTATAGGTCCTCGATTTTAGGGTTCGTTGAACCTCAGTAAAAAAAAATATCGATGTATAAAAATAAACGGATTCAATAAGCAATACGTAAATATATCTAAGCGAGAATTGACAAAAATTGCATAAAAATTTTGCAAAATTCAAATTGCTTGAAAAGTTATACAATTTTTTTTTTACGTCTCTTTGGATTTCACTTGGACCTTTCACCGTTCGATGTATGCCGGTTTCGAGGTTCCACGATATCAGTAAAGTTTGGCCAAAACTTTTAAACGTTACACGCGTCTATGAGGTAAAATACGAAATTTCCGACTCCACGATGAATTCGCTCCCGACGTGTGTTGAAAAGATAGAAAAGGGCGTTCGACGTCAATGAAATGTAAATGCTTAGCGTTATAACGTGCGTTTCGTCCCGTAGGATATACGCCGTGTATTATTGACAACAGATATATAGATATAGATATATATACTATAATATTGGCAGTATATATAAATAGACAGAAAGATGATTGATGGATATAATAATACCTCTTTCCATGTTCCCGCTTGTATTCGCCGTTGTACTTGGACCTACTGCCTGCGAGCTCTATTATTTCTGGTATGCTACTAGCAAACATTGCCTGCAAATAGAAATCATAACTGGAGAAGACTATGCCACTACTTTTTCTAATAAGCTGTTTGCCTCTGATTGCAATTTTACAGCGTGGCTTGGAGCGAGGAGTAAATACAAAAACTATGAGATAGAAAAAAAATATATTTAGAAACGTCAGATGCTACATGACCGCCATTTTCTAATTATTCCTTGTCGTAGGAAAATTCTCGGTCGTCGTATCTAGCCAAGGAAACCTACCTGGTTCTAAGGGAATATTGATTATTGATTGTGATCGATATATGCTCTCTGACTTTGTGATACGAAAGATACGAGAGTGAGTTATTGCATATTCTTTTTTTTACACGTTCAAATGTCCCTTTAGGACATGGAAGGACAGTTTCATATATGTGAATTTTTCGCATCGTTATTACTGACGATCGATGAAATTACCAAGATTCATCAGCCAACACGTCCGTAGAAGTCCGTGTGTATAAAAAAAATTGAATTATTCAAATAATAATACACAGCCACGTGGAATATGGCTAACGAATTAAATAATTTGTCGATAACTCAAATCTTGAAAATTTAACTTGAAATTTGTTTTATTCAATTGCCAATTAATCACGTAAAATTATCCACCGATTATTCGTCAATTTCACGAGTTAATTAATCACGCTCCAAGTTCGGCGACTGACCTGAGTTTTAACAAATTCAACGTAACATTGGATCTCAACAAGATTTCCACAATCTACAGTTTATACATGCTACCTCGTGTATGCCACTTGCATCCTCACGGAATTGCATAACATAAATAACAACTACCGCGACCTTTATCGAGTTTCGCCGCAATACATTCCCAGCGAAGAGCCCATAAAAAAGTAACCGCACGCTGCAAACGAATCTTCGCGTCCCACGATACCACATTCGTATACCAGCCTATACTCGTATTCTTTCCCGTTCACCAAGCCCAGACACATGTCACGATCGTAATCAGTCAAAAAATTCACCACTAAGTTTAATAAAAAAATTACTAATTCAACTTTCTAATCAAGGAACACAATTTTTGTAGATCGATTCTCGCGTCTATCACAAAGAGGATCTACGCTGTGGTATAGAAGCTTAAAAAATATATATATATATATATAAAATAATAATAAAATCAGTCCGAGTCGATTAGTGATCGGTGTAAGTATACTAACGTATTACAAAACCACGTGACTACAGTGCATGAAGTATAAAACATTAAAAGTTGGCCCACGTATATAAAACGTTAGAAAACTCGAAGCAGCAGGCACGCCGGCGAAAAGTATAACAGCGGAGAACAATTCGTCATCGAGATACTCTGAAGCCCAGTAACTAGCATCAACAACACGACGCTCCCGTATTAGATGCCAAGTCTCGTAAAATCACCTACAGCGCATACGGACTGTATACATGGCAATGAAGAAACGTACCACGTGGTCGAAACTCGCAACGAGCGTTCTCCGCCTCATCTTCGCGCGACGATAAATAAGTAAGAAACGTTAAAAATTCTAGATGCAAGAAATCTACAAGCGTGAATTCACGGTCTGAAGAAGTGGCGCGTGTAAGCGTCCTCTAACAAAGTGCAACATTGTGCTTGACGAGCGAGGCATGATATATAGCGTGATGGCCGGGGGGTGGGTGACGGGTGGGAGGAGGGAGGATGGGGTGGGTGGTTTGAAGTGCCAGCCTGAAATATGCGGTCACGTACGTATTATTAAGGTGTCTGCCACACAGAGAGAAAAGGGGCCCTGCCGAAACCGTGAGGCTTCGAGTCTACGAGGTCGCGTACCTGCTTTGTAAATACGCGTTTGCATACACGAATTTACGTACCCGGGCTACGAGTGCCTTTTCACTAACAGTGACTCTACGACTTGCTAGAAACTGGCGACGCAATCGTGTTACACGACACGTACAGCGTCAATGCGTCGATCGATTTTGATAATTGAAAGTGCCTTCTGAGAATCAAGATATTGACTATTTGAATTTGATTTAATTGATAAAATTATTAAACATACGCAAACACCTTTCTTTATGGTTTCAGGCACGGATTCAGGCTTCAAGCCGTTTAGCGCAGCGGATTGGGCTAAGGGATGTTGGACATACGTTACATTAGTTAGAGCATGTTCAGATGGGATATATGCTGTATGATGCAAAGCCAAAAAAATGAAAAAAATTATAAAGGCAATAAATAGCAATAACGTGCTGTTCGGTGTGAGCATGATCTATATTGTATGAAGACGGAGCCGACAGATATTTCAGATCCATGAAAATAATTGAAAGTGACGTATGTGTTTGAATCAAAGAAAAATTCATTGTCCGTTACGTATACATTCGCTCTTCGTTCGCTCGTGTGTAAATCTTCGTGTACGGACGATTTATCGATCTCTACCAAAATCGACTCGATTGAACTGACTCGATTATCTTCAATCGCAAGTGATTTTGTCCAGTTTCATTTTCGATTATCCCGCTCGTTATGTAATCGCTGCGTATAAAATATACTTTCCCGAATTTTCAACTCTTTTCGTTTCTCATTACACGCACCTATATATGTATACCTTCGCATTCATTCGTCCCCATACGTCTCAGTCATTCGCAGCGTACAGAAACATTCAGGATCATTATCCAAGTATCTTTAACCCCAGAGTACCCGCACGCGGGCTCTGGGACCGATGAGCACGTTATTTTCTCCAATTACTCATTTCCACGCGGGTACTCTGGGTTTAAGGATCTTCCAGTATCAGTCTACAGTCAAGAACCTGATCAACGGTACGGGATGAAAATGATAATTAATGGATAACGATTCCAAAAGAATTACTACGGTAAAATAAATTGATCGCGTGTCGAGTGTTTGAATTAAAAAAATCACTTATAATGTGCTATTGAAAAAAAAAAAAAAAAAAAAAAAAAAAAAAAA